TCCCTGTCCGGGAACAGCAGGCGGGAACTCTGGTCTGCTGGCGTTGGGCACGATCGCCCCGTTTGCCCTGAGTTTGGAACCTGCGGGGCGATGGGAATTCGGAAAGCTTAGTTCCTGAGTTAGCGAAGGAGCGCGTTGCGGAGGTGTCATTCACATGAGGATTTATGAACTGTAGTAACGTTTTCTGAGGACTCTGGGGAAATGTTTTTTGTTTGAAATAACGTGCTTTTAAAAGGCATGTGGCATGATTTGGAGTTCCTCAGAGAATTTAAATGTCTTTTAAAAAATTTTATTTATTTATTTATTTATTTATTTTTAGAGAGGGAAGGGAGGGAGAAAGAGAGAGAGAGAAACATCAATGTGCGGTTGCTGGGGATCATGGCTTGCAGCCCAGGCATGTGCCCTGGCTGGGAATCGAACCTGCGACACTTTGGTTCGCAGCCGGAGCTCAATCCACTGAGGTACGCCAGCCAGGGCTGAATTTAAATGTCTTTGGAGTCTACTCCACCAGAGGGACAGAGTTTTAGGTCTACGGAGAACATTTTCAGGGGTGGGACCAGTCACAGTTTCATGCCCTTTTCTCCAAAATTTAGTACTGTCTTAGTGTAGTGGATTTCAATGTGCGGACCTTGGACCAGTGGCTGCCCGGCATTGCTGAGAAAATTGTTAGAGATGCTGATTCTCAGGCCCTGCCCCACTGAGTCGGAAACTCTGGGGGTGGAGCCCAGCACCCCCCCCCCGCACCCCGTATCTCTGAACCAGCCTGTCAGGAGGATGAGCTATAGTACAAAATGTAATAATAAAATATAATTTTAGATGGCTATTTAGTTTATTTTTCACTTCTGAGAAGTTTCAGAAATACTGACCAGTTTGACCCGAGGACTATGTAAATTCTGAATGCTAAAATGAGGCATGGCCTTGACATTGAGACTTCCCTGATTGTCCAGCTCGGTGACAGAGTTCGGGGTTTCTCCCGTCTGCCTCCCTTCTGAGAGAGCTTGGCTCTGGGGCGTGCCATGGGAGACCTTGGCCGAGGTGGTGAGCCAGGCCGTGTCTGGTTCCAGGCTTAAGTTCCCTCGATAATGAGAGAAACAGCGTGCACATTGTATTTCAGCTGCACCCCGGGCCCTGGTTTGTGAGTCACTCTGCGTCTGGTCAAACAGGACACACCTGGCCCTGGCCCCACTGCCTCGGGCCATGGTGCGCTGCAGCAAGGAGCCGGGGAGTGTTCGCTGGTATTGTCGCTGCTGTCACTGCCTGGCTGCTGCCGGCCGTGTTGACACAAGGAGCGTCAGAAGGCTGTCTACTCTGGGTGTCCAGGGAAATCTGAAGTGCGGCCAGGAGGGCAGCTGCAGGTTCTGCTTCGTCGTGAGCCACGCGCTGCCTTGTGGCAGGGCAGGCGCGATAGTCCGGAGAGCTTGCTATTCCTTCTGTGACATCCCGTTACATGGGTTTTACCAGCTTCTGAATCTGCTTGGCTGTAGTGTGCAGGGTTGTCATAGTCACTGAGCTTCTCATGGGAAGCAAAACTATTCTCTGAGAGAGCAGGTGGTGCCCTGCAAGCCAGGGTGATGGTGTAAGTTTGCAGGTGGTCTCCTCGGAGGCCTGGTTGGTGGAAGAACCGCAGAGGAGACAGGGAAGAGGCCGCTGTCCGGCTGGGAGACATGGTGTCTGGGGTTGGGGCAGGATCTGAGAAAGTGTCTGCTGGACTCATTCGTAAACGTGAGACTTCTTGTCTGTGGCCTGTGCCTTTCTTTGCCTGTGTGGTCCAGTTCCTCTGTGAACGAGCTCAAAGGATGCCGTGGATGTTTCTCTGAAGGTACTTGAGCCATTGGTGGACGGTATTGTTTCTCTTATGGTGCTTTGTTTTGTAATAAGGTTGGTTTATTTTTAATCTTCACCCGAGGATACGTTTATTGATTTTAGGGGGGTAGGGAGGTGGGGGGGAGAGAGAGGAGAAACATTGATCTGTTCCCTCTCATGCTCATCCTTCCCTGGGATTGAACCTGCAACCCAAGTATGTGCCCAGGTTTGATTCCTGACCAGGAATCAAACCTGTAACCCTTTGGTGTGTGAGACGATGTTCCAACCCACTGAGCCACCCAGCCAGGGCAGGTTTGTTGTTGTTGTTGTTGCTTTTTAAAGAGAGGGACATGTTTCATTAATATTTGAAAGGAGGAAACAGGAATGAGTTTGTGTACATCAGCCCACTCATAGAAAGCATCAGCTAAACAATAGGCAGAAGGTCTCTCACACCTGACATTTTCCTGTCCGGTACCAGGACGTCGTCTTTGCCCAGCGGGGCTGGTGTAGGCCTGGGGCAGGCCGACCCTCGAGGGGGAGGCCGACCGGCGAGGGGGAGGCTGGCTGTGGCAAGGAGGGAAAGGAAGACAACCCCTAGGATTTTTCTGCGCTTTCATTCACCTTGAACCAGTGTACGTTCCTCGGGCAGGGGCTGAGCTCCGTGATCTGACCTAGGAGACAGTGGCTAACCTTCAAGGAGCAGGTCATTTTGGGTTGTTTCTTACCTGTAGTGCTTTGGAGACTCAACGGAGAGAAACACCTGCATTCCAAAAACAGCGAAGCAAGGTAAATGCCGGGGGTTTTAAAACGGCTCCTAAAAGTCAGATGGAAACGCTCATTAAAAAGGTCCGTCGTCGGGACGTCAGCCCCGTGACTGCCGGCGAAAGCTGCTGAGAGAGGAAGCCTGCCAAGTGCTCATCACAGGAAAAATGATGTTGCAAATACACGTGGTGACTGACGGTTGTTAAGGAAAGTCACTTACGTTTCTACCCTGGGGGCAGCTTCTAACAGGCGGTATTTTAAAGGAGTTAAAACTTCTAGGTAGCTTTTTGTGAGGATTTTTTTTATCTGATGTAATTTCTGAAAGCTTTTGAAGTTTAAGAAATTCTTCTATGAAGTGCTTACCATTTTAATTTGCATTCTATTTATTGAAAACATTTTATAGGTATACAGTGAAAAGAAAGTTTTTTCCAGAATTCTGCCCTCCAGGTTCCTGGTTTTCGTCTGAGGTCTCTGTGGTCCATATGCTTTAGAATGAGGGAAAAAGTAGAAACAAGCCAATGCAGAAAGTTCAAAAGCAAACACAAAAAGACCGTGGGTGATGGAAGGCTAGCGGTATGAGCTTGTCCCCTTTGGGGAGTGGATCTATGAAATAAATTTAATTCCACGTTGTGAAATGATGGCCGTAGTTTGTTGTGAAACCGAAATTCTCAGCGGAAAGGAGCATCCAAACACATCAGCCGAACTTGCAGGTAGAACTTCCAGCTGCCTGCCTCCCTGCCGGTGCTGGGGAAGCAGGAAAGGCCTGCAGCCGGCCCCTGGGAGCCAGACCGCTGCGGCCTCACTTCCGGTGTGACGCACGTCTCAGGGGCCTGGCCGTGGAAGGCAGTCTCTGGGGGCTGGGATTCAGGCCTGGGGAGATGCTTAGATTTTAAGAACCTCGAGTCCTTTTTTGTAAATCAGACAATGTACCGATGGAGAACAGTAAGTGGCAAAGACGCACGGACAAATGATAAAATAAGATAAAAAGAGAACGGTCCAGCAGCCAGTATTTCCGACTGGGAAAGCCAGGAGAGCAGTGTCCGCCCGGTACCAGCGAGTGGCTCTGAAGTCGTCAGGTGAGTTCAGGGTACTCACTGGACTGAACTGGATTGAATACAATGTACTTGTGACATTTTCGTCTCATAGGGGCAGTTTAATCAGCCTGGTGGGAAATAAGGGTTTTGGCAAGAAGAGCCCTGCTTTGAGGCAAATGCTCATTTTGCAAAGGTCAACGGCGGAGAGCAGGCTTGTTTTCAAGAAGTGCCCGCCCTGGTGGCGAGGGTTTGTTTTGAGGCTGTGTTTCCCGTGGTGACATGTGAGCGCCGGCGTGTTGGGGTGGGGCCATCTCAGAGTCCCCGTCTGGGCCAGAGAGGTTCTTCTGCTCAGAGGAAGGAACAGGTGAAGAAAGGCGGATGGCTGGTTGGGCTTTGCTGCGCTTGTGCAGGTTCTCCAAACACAGCTGCTCTGTGCGTTGTGGTCCACGGGTCAGGTGTTGCAAGCTGCTCTTACGGTCAGGGCGAACTCACAGATACAGAGGGACATGTGCTTCTGTGCCCTATTGTGAAAACCACTTGCCAAAATACCGTAACTTTGGGGATATGAGGAAATTGTTTTTTCTCATTGAGTTGCATCAGTGTCCTCCTTGTTTTGTGTGTATTTGAGTTTTGATTAATAATTTGATTTCGTCTTAACGGATCTTTTTATTTGTGCTGTTCTTTTCCTGTTTAGCATGCATACGACACACCTTGTTGCTTATTTTGGATTTAGCTGACTGCTTGAGCATGTATCTGTTGCCTGGCATACAGCAGGTGCTTCATAACTCTTTGAATCCACTAACTTAATCTATGGCTGTTGCATTGAGATGTTTGCTGATATAATCCTTTGGCTGGTCCATCTTTTTCCAGTAACCATTTATTTCCAGTTATTTAAGAGGGGCTTTTGATAGGATATTTTAGAAAAGAAAATGTTAATGTGCTCTAGTTACTATGGGCATTTAAACCTTGTAAAGAGGAAAACGGATGGTGGACACACAAAAACCAAGTGTATGAAAGGAAATAGCTTTTCTGGGTGTGCACATGGCGTGAAAATGAAAAAGGACTTGACCTACCAGATCAAGAGTACGTCTTCAGAAATGGTTTAAGCGAATACCGATGCTAATGAATAACTCAATTATTTCCGATGGGTCAGCCTCCTTTCTCGGAGAGAAGGCACATTGGTTTAAATGTCACTTCCCCCCACCGTGGCTGAGCTGCGGCGGCCTGAGCCGGTATCCCTCCGCGCGCTCGGTCGCTGACGCGCAAACGCCGAAGACGCCGCGGGGGTCCGCCGCCGCTGCTTGCGCCCCGTCTCTGCGGGTTCAGAGGGGACGTTGGTCTTCAGTGCCGGTCAGCATGGCCTCGGTGGCCGCGCTAACTCTCTCCGTTCTCTCTTTCTAGTCGTACAGTTTATCGAGGAAGAAAATAGTGCACTACACCTGCTTCGATCAGCGGAAAAGAGCGAACGCAGCGTTTCTGATAGGTGCTTATGCCGTAAGTACTGTCGCCGGGGTGTTCCCCGCGAGGGGCGCGAGTGCGGCCACGCGGGAGCCAGGCCGCGTTTTCCGCGGCCTCGGGCGCTGGCGTGCAGAGTCTCGGCGGCTTCGGGCCAGATCGGACTGGAAAGTGTAGACCCGGTGCCGAGGGGCTGTCTCCTCTTGGGCTGTCTTTTCTGTGGCTAGTGACAGTCTCGGAACCGTGGTGCGTAGCTTGGAGTCCACGGCTGTACAAGTGTTGTCATAAAAAGAATGCCCGGAGGGGATATTTCCAAAGGGGGGAAATATATATATGTATATATATATATGAAGGTTGGGGGGGATGAAAGGAAATCCTAGATTGAGTGGGAAGGATGATTGTTGTTATTTTTACCAACCCATTTATTCACGTATCAAGCGTTTGTTGTAGGCAGACCAAATGGAAATCCGGCATATGTTACTGCTTTCCTAATAACTAGACCAGACTTTCCAAAACTAATATCCATTAGAAATTTTGTTCTCTGAAAGCACTAAAAGGTAGACGGGAGTTCCATGAGAATGTGCTACCAAGTTTGGATGTGACCAGTTCTAGAATTTTCTGTGTATGCTGGGATGGGGCAAAATCTTGGAAGCAGAAGCCATCGAGGCTAAAACGCACGTGCAGCTTATGACAGCTTTTTAGGAAGATGCCGGGTGAAAGGCAGGGGACGGAGGTGTCGTGTCCTCTTGTCCTTGGGGAGGGTCACGGCTGCTGGAGGTGGACTGCTGAGTGACCTGCCAAGGGTCTCCATCTGAGACCTCCGCGGGCGGAGGGTCTGGCTCCTGGACATGCCCCTGCCCCTTTGAACCACACTGTGTGGGGAAGCTCGGGGGTGGCGTTGGAAAGACTGTCAGCCATCATTGCCCGTGTGGGCTGGGCACAGTGACCAGGTGACAGCCAGACTGCAGCCCAGACCCCGTTTCTGGGACTGAGGTGCCCGACTCTGCCCCTGACGTGGCTGCTGTGAAGCCTGGAGCCGTCCCTGTGGTACCCTGTTCCTCACTCTCTGTCCACAGCACGGTGGTAGGGCACAGGAGTCGTGCCTGTGAGCTAGAAAAACACCTTTTCCCTGAGGTGGCTCTGGGATGGCAGGTCAGCCACGCTGTCTGCCCCAGCTTTATTTGGGTCCCGTATCTGTGAAATGAGGGGGTTGGCTATGATGACCTCTGTGCTGTCCCCCTCCCCAATTCGGAGGAGACTAGGATTATTTGCAGCGCCCGCTAGGCTGCTGCTTTGGCTTTAAGAGCAGACCCGCCCGGCAGGCTGTGGGTGGAGGGTCCGGGGAAGCGTGGGCGCTGCGCACAGCCAGCGTCCTTCCTTCTCACTTCCCCTTGCCACTCCTCGGAAACCGGCGGTGACACTGTGTTCAGAATCCGAGAGCCTGGAGCCACCTCCGGGCCCAGGCCTCCCCGACGAGCGTGCCCTCCCCCACCCCGTGTGTGTTCCTGACGCTGCGTGGGCGCGTCCTCTGTCATGAGGGGTGGGCGCGTCCTCTGTCCTGAGGACTGGCCACTGGGAAGGGGCCCTCCTCAGCTCCCTCCTGTCTTCCCTCCCCCCTTCTTCTCCTCTTCTGTCTTTCCTCCCTCGTCCTTCCTGTTTTCAGCGCCATCCTTCATGTCCACAAAGCACCTCTAGCGTTTGAGAGGAACTTTAGTTATAACAGATGCGTTGCGCTCGGGATAAGATACGCCTTCTAACGCAGAAGCTCCCTCTGCTTCAAAGCAGCCCAGCACCTGGAGGAGAAGCCTGGGCGCGGTCACAGTGCTGAGGGCATCTGTCACAGGCTCACCACGGCCCTGACGCACTGGGTCCAGTCCTTACTCTTGTGTTGGTCCCTGCCCGATAGGTTTTCTTTTTTTTTTTAAAAAGATTTTATTTATTTATTTTTAGAGAGGGAAGGGAGGGAGAAAGAGAGAGAGAGAGAAACATCAATGTGTGGTTGCTGGGGGCCGTGGCCTGCAACCCAGGCATGTACCCTGACTGGGAATCAAACCTGCGACACTTTGGTTTGCAGCCCGCGCTCAATCCACTGAGCTATGCCAGTCAGGGCTTAGTCGTATGGTTTGAGCAAGTTGTTTAACTCATCTGAACTCCTGTTTTGTTTGGTTTTACCCTAAAACAGAGAGAATGACACCCCACCTACCAGCTGTGGTGAGGCTGAGGGAGAGGTCCTGTTGTGCAGTGTCTGGCTGCCGGCTCTGGGCGGGGAGCTTGGGTGGCCTGTGGCCTCCGAAACGTTTTCTCAGCCGGTGTCTTCCCCTCGGGACCTGGAGGCTGCCCCCCCCCCCTCCTCGGTTGTCTGCTTGTCTTTCCTCCTTCCCGCCCCCTTTTACACTTAAATCCTGTCCTGGTCAGCAGCACTCGGAGGATCCGATGGTTGCTCAAGATTGTTCACTGGAAGGTGTGGAGTGTGAGCCCCCCTGCCCCCACCCGTCCTTGCGTGTTATTTGCATTTTAAGGGGTGATATCTAACCCAAACGAACTCCTTTTTGAGATCCTTTTTGAGATGCGTGCTCAGGCATTCATGAACCCAGTAAAGAGTTGTTTAGCTCAGGTGAGCTCTACCCAGCACTGTGGAAAATACAAAGACAGCATTTAATTGGTGATAATCTCATTGTTTTACTAGTCATTTTGATTATTAATGAGGTTTATTATTCCTGTGGTTTTATTTACAGGTTTATTAACTTTTTGAATAGTTTGTGTCATTTAAGTTTGTTTCCTGTGTTCGGATCATTAAAAGTTGAACAGTGATTATCAGTCTCTCTCTTTTAAAAAAAGTTTTCTGTGTCTAATTTTACCAATAGATGCAGAGCCCTAGAAATCATACCCATCAGTCCAAGTTTCTGTAAGAAATTAGGAAGTTCATGTACCTTAAACTCTGTTCCTTATTACAATGCTGTATTAAAAACAAGTACTTCCATATACGTGAATACAAAGAGGGTTGATTGGAACTGCTGGTGTGGGCCTATTGATCATTCACCCTGAGTGGTCTACCGAATGTGTAGAAAATTAGTCAGAACAGTATTTTTAAAAAGTGGTTTGTGTGTACGTGTCTGAACCATTGGAAAATGGCAAACCAGGGCAACGAACCCTGAGTTTGTTTTTCTGTTTTCTTTGTCTGGGTCAAGCATATCAGCTTCCTCAGCCTCCAAGTCGTAATTCATCCGTCCAGTGGTCAGTGTCAGACGGCTTGACAATGCCCTTGCCAAGCTGTAGGGTGACCGACGGTTGTTCAAAGTTACGGGAAAAGGGTCAAGTGCAGTGTTGGTGCAGAATAACAAAGGCATCTACCTTAACTGTTTGTGAAGACAGTGACAAAGCAGGCGTGAGCTGCCGGTGCGCCCAGAACCCCTGGTGGCGGCTCTGGCGGGTCTCAGGGCAGCTGCTGCCCGTGCGTGGGGAGGGCCGCCTGGCGGGCAGGCCTCCTCCGGTCCTCAGTTCCTTCCTTCTGTGGCTTCCTGGGCAAGGAGGCTTTCGTGGTGATGGCCTGCACCTGGGCCAGACGGGCCCTTGTCCTCGCCTGCTTGTACTTGCGGTGTCTTTGAAACAAGTCAGGCTCCCCAAAACCATACAGCGGTTTTCATTCCAAACTCCGAGAATCAGGAAATTCTCTTGGTCTTCTGCCGATGGGCAGAGTGGTATTATCTTTTAGTCAACGTCGCTGTGGGCTAGGAAGACTAGCTGTTTGCTTTTCATTTGTGGAAGGGTGTTCGTCAAGTTTAACTGAATATATCTTTTCAGGATTTTTTTTTAAATTTTCCTTTTGGCATCCGGATAACAAGCTTCCTTTGTGCTGTAAATAAACCCTCAGATTTGCCCCCCCCCACACACACATGCACTGTATTCAGTGCACTGTATTCAGTGCATGTATAGTTAAGTGTGACTATACGTATAGTTAAGTGTGACGCACTGTTTATAGCCACTTACACATTTTTGGAATCTTATTAGACATTTACTTTCTGAAAGTGAAAAAGCTTGTGTCCACTTGTTTTATTGATACTCGGACTCGAGAGGGATGCACGTTTTGCGCGTGCTCTGGACGTCGTGAGGGGAGTTCCTGCGGCCGCAGGGCAGGTGGACGGGCCTCCCGACCCTCATGCACAGTGGGTCTGCAGGCAGGACCTCCGTGGGCCGCACTTAAGTCGCCTCTGCTCAAGCGGAAGCCGCCTTCGCTTGTTTCAGTTCCGCTGTGGGTAAACTGACATCAGTAAACTGCGTAGGGAACGGGGTTACTGCCTAAAACACGAGCAGACACCGAAGGACGAAGAACTCTCCTGTGTCCTGGGAGGGCCCTGCAGGCCCGTGGCCCCGCGTGAGCAGGCGGGGCCGACGCACGGTGCACCGGCGGCAGGGCCCTTCCCGCAGACGCCCGCCGGCTGCGTGCAGCTCCCGTTCCTCCGGCTTTCTCTCAGCAGCAGCCCTTTGTGAACACCCAGGAGAACAGCCGGTTCCTTGTTCAGTGTCCGCTGTTGGTGTTCTGTTCTTCAGTCGACTCAGAGACTGCAGCCCGCAAGCTACTGTGAGATTCGGGATCGGAGATTGGAGTTCCCGAGCTTTGTCTTAGAAGCTTGGATAACATCTCGCCTACCAGCTTCTTCGCTTTGAAAGAATAAGATGGCCCTTTTTTTTTTTTTTGGTCCCTTAGGTCCATGCTCTAGTTAGTAAGAAGAATACAAAGGATTGTCTGGCCCCCTCCTCCCGCTCCGGGAGATGTTCACGGGCCGGGAGTTGTCCCGAGTCCGTGGGGCACGGGCCGTGCTCCGGTCTCGCTTTGGTCCGTGCGCTCGGGGTCCTCCCTGGGCGAGTTGGGGGGTCTTCCTCCTGGGTCACTCCAGACCGTTTCTGGTTTTTCTCCTTCTCTGTTCTTTCCAATTGTTTTCCTCTGGTTACGTCAGGGAAATCTGGCTCCTCTCACACTTGTCCTGGCCCCCCGCCCCACGCTCCCTGCCCCCACCATGCCTCAGGTGTGGAATCAGTCC